CAGCAGAGAACTGTCATAATAGCATAGATGAGAGTCATTTTATTTGAAGATTTTGCTCTCTTGTTCACACATAGCTAGGCTAGCCTAGTGTACTTCATTTTGTGAATTATGTAAGGCCATCCATCCCACTTCATAATCTGGGAATTCACAGGGATTTGTCTTTTACAAACATTCAGATGTTTGATTTAATTGTGTTTATTGCTTGAATATGTCAACAGTCTGGGGTGTGAGGATAAGTTTTAGATATGAAATCATTTTAGGATTCCTGAACACACAAGATATTGGCAACAAGCCATTCTCTATGGAAATGTTTGTTTGGTATTTAAAATATGCCAAACTTTGGCATCTTTGGCAAAGGAGAATAACAGTTTCTAGTTAGACATAAATGATTTCTTTTTATGACCAAAAGAGTCCGTAAGAAATCCAGTTTGAAACAATATGGATAAGAGTTCAGTTATTTCCTCTTGTTATTATTTAGATTTCTTCTCTTTTTGGATAGTTTTGTATTTCATTTCCAGTGTAGATGTCTATACCCTTTAAGGTTTTCACAGGGAATTTAATCTATGTTAGGGAAAAGGAAGAATCTCAAAGGAGCAGATTGGGGGAGGCTAGAGCTAGTTAAATTGAAGTTTAATCTGAATTGAAAAATTTAGTCACGCATGGCTCTCGGGACGCTGAGGCAGGAGGATTTCTGTGAGTTTGAGGCTAGCCTCAGCTACGTAGAGAATCCATGGCCAGCTTCAACCACATAGCAAGACCCTATCTCAAAAAACAAAAACAAAGCAAAAATGCAACAACAAAAAAGAAAATTCTTTTTTTTCTCTCTCCTTTTTTTTTTTTTTTTTTTTTTTTTGTCTTTTTCCTTTTTATCGGTACCAGGGATCGAACTCACGACTGCCTGCTTACAAGGCAGGTGCTTATGCCACTGAGCTAAATCTCCAGCCCAAGAAAGAAAATTCTTTAGTCATGCAAAAGACATGAAATTTTTAAAGAAACAAAGATTTTATATTGTAAAAACATAGGAAAACCTTCCTTACAGGAAACACATTTTCTTTTAAGTACTCAAAATTGTGGTGTCAATCCTACAACAGGTTATTCTTGGAAAAGAGTATTACTGTCATCTTTTGGAAGCCTTTTGTTATCTTCTGGTGTGATTATTTTCAGTCCTAGGGTTGTGCTAAGATGATAGAACATTAACTTACACTATGATTCAGGTTTAAACCAGACTGTTTTGTACCCAGTATTTTTTTTAAGAACTGAAAATGTATTTCCGAGTGGATCTCACTTTATGCCTTATTTATTCCCACTTAAATTTATTCCCACTCTCTTACTCGGTCATAGCAGTTTGAGTTCTTTTCTGCGAGCAATAATGGCTATCCCTGATAAACTTAAGAAAGAAGGAAATTTGTCTGAACAAATTGGTAGGAAGTTGAGAGAAGCCTGGAGGACCAGTGTTGGGAAGAATAGACTAGATAGCTCATGTGGGCCTCTTAGCATGAAGGTCTAAACAGCATCATCTAGAATAAATGGCTCAGATTCTAGAAGAGAGATTTGACTGGATTAGCGATAGTCAACTCCTCTTTCTTTGGCTAGGGGAGGGCAGAATATCTGAAAACAGAATTCCAATAAAGTAAATAAAGATGCCACTATTGAAAGAGGTGGGCTGACAGCTGGTCAGCTAAGATGAATAAACAAAAAATAATAACAAAAACCCCTAGGGTGTACCATTCTCATTCTTTTGTCTTTTGTATATATTTTCTGCTCTTTTTTCTTTCTTGCTTCTTGGTGGTTTTTTTTGTTTTTGTTTTTGTTTTTGTTTTTTTGCCTTTTAGATTTTTATCTGTTTTCTTGACTAAATTTTATCCTTGTTCTTTCTTCTTTATTAGAAACCCTAATGTTAAAACTGTGCCATTTAAACAACTGATATTTGTGGGACTTTGTTGTTACTTCTTTCCTTATGTGTGTAAATAAATAACTGGCGAAATTGTTCATTTTCTTTCATTTCTGTGTATCTCAGCTGTTAAAGGGGAATATAATTCTTATAACATTGGGCTATAACAAACACAATAAAGTTGTGTTTGTAAAGCACTTACCATACTAATTAGCACATAACAGGTATTCAGTAAATGTCTGCTTGGTTTTTGTTTTTTGGTGCCAGGGATCCAACTCAGGACCTCCCATTTGTCAAGCAGGTACTTACACCTCTGAGCTAAACCCCCAGCCCCATTGTTTTGTTTTTTGAGACAGAGTCTTGCTATACAGTTTAGGTTGGCAGAGCTTACTACATAGCCAAGGCTGGCATTGAACTTGAAGCAGTCCTCCTGCCTCAGCCCTCTAAGTGCTGGGATTACTAGTAAATGTTAAAATTCTTTCTCTTAACAAATATTTGATGAACACCTACTATGCCTCCATGCCAACTGACATGGGAAGAATACAATGGAAGCAAAGTTACATTCTAGTGGGAAAGCCAAATTAATAAAAATCTAATATAGAAAGTATTGGTGCCAAAAGACATTAATTAGTGCCACAGACAATGCCACTCACATTACATAAAGATAGATATAAATGAATTAAGTATTTTCCGTCAGGGTGAACTCACTGGAAATATGTGATTGATAACTCTGGGTGTTCAGAGAGAACTACCCTATCTCTCATTTAACCCAAGAAGATTTTATTAAAGAGATAATATTTAAATAGCCATGTAAGGAGAAGAAGAGATATTATTTTACTTGGTAAATGTTTCAATGTAGAACTTTATATAGAGAACCTTGGAGAGGATGAATTTGCGTTTGAATGGCATAGAAACCGAACAATTGGGTAGTAATAGTTGGGTCAAGATCAAGAGAAAAAGAAATTTGAAAAACTCCAATTTAAAAACTTGTGCTTAATGTTTATAGCACACATTGCTAGTTGCGTATGCTGGTATCTGATTTCCCTTGTAATGAAACGTCTCCCATTTTCTCACCTAATCTACCACATTCCTCCTCTTCCCTGCAGCTACAAGAATATGACTCAGTTTTAAGAAATGAGAAGAAAGTAGACATGTTATGTAATATTTCTAAAAAGTCTTCCAAAATGGAAAGATATCATTTTACTTCCTTCTTCCTCCTTAAATTACCTAGTGGAATTTTAGCTCTCGCCCTAAATGGCCTTCACGTGGAAGCAATGTGTAGTATAATAATGGGACAGAAAGAGCCCGGGTTCCTAATACTTGCTGCTTGCATACAAGGACTGAACTGCCAATCTCTAGACTTCTTCCATGTAAGCAAGAATAATCTAGCTAAAGCCACTGTTTCCGCGAATCTTTATCTTTTAACATGTACTCAAATTTAATCATTATTAATATACTCTTTGATGACACCATTGAGTATATAAAATAAACATGGAACACAATCTGATTATTCTAGAAATTTATGTTTATCTATAGATGTGTACTTACAGAAACCAACTTACTAAATAAAAATGAAAATGACTGAAATTCCCTTTAATTTGCAGTAGAATCAATAATAGTAAAAATATCTTGATCTTACGACTCTTAGAGATCCCTTCATCAAATACAAGTCTCTGAAATTCACAGACTTCTGCAAGACAATATTGGTTATTATATTTGTATTTATTCATTCAGGAAATAGTTATTGAATGTTTGCTCTGTGAAAAATACAGTTCTTAGAAGAGATGTTACCAAAAAGAACAAAGTCGTTATCTTTATGGGAAGTATATTCAAATAGAAAAAGCCAAACCAAAAGAAAATTTTGGGGGAAGAAAGAGAGAGAGAGAGAGACAGAGAGAGAGACACTGACCACGTTAGTGAAACAAGAAACCAGAATAAGGAGGCTGGGAAGTGAGGCGGTGAGTGTCTACCTTCTCATATGAGGTGAGCACAAAGCCCCTTGTGAAATCTGACATTTGAATGGAAATTTGAGAGAAGGACTGAAAGCCATGTAGACGGGTGGGGAGAAGGCATTCCAAGGATGGGAACGAGGACAAAACACCTGACCGTGGAGCCTCCTTGTGTGCACATACACTAGTGAAGAACCAGTGTGGCTGGAGTGTAGTTAGGTTAGCAAAAATTGTATGAGTTGAAGCTATTTTATGAGATGAAGCAGGAGAGAGAACCTGAAGTCAGATCACACAAGATCTGGCTGGAACATTGAAGAAACACTGTTTTTATTTTATGTATAGAGAATTTTGGATAGTTCAGTGGGATAATTTAATTTATTTTGATTATTGTTTGTTTATATATAATCCATATTTCAGCTTCCCTTGAACTTCCTAGGTAGCCTAGACAGGCCTCTTAGTAATCTTCCTGCCTCAGCTTCCTGAGTGTTGGAATTATAGTTGACTTACATTTTTGATGGACCAGATTTTTTACTTCTGACATCATACGGTGGGTAATTTGAATGAATGCTCCCACTGAGATCAACAGCTATCAGAACAACAGCAAATCTGAACAAAATGTTTAAAAATTCCATTAAAACATTAGATGACTAATGAGTCAAATGAAAATAAAAGGCCAAATTCTAGGAGAAGAAAACCTACAGAAGCACGCATGGCATTTATTTGAGGGAACTTTTCCTATACGGCCATTTACCAACTCTGGAAGGCATGATGAGAAGCTGAGAAACTGTTGAATAGTGCTTTTGACAGGTTTGTGGAGCCGAGGAACAAAAATTGATGTCACAAAGGGATTGAGAACAAACTTGTTAAACTATCCAGAATTTGGGGTGATACTCTAATAGGCTCAGTCTATACTGTATTAAGTTTGAACTGGACTCATCTTCACAGAGACTGAGCCACACCTTCAAATCAGCCTAACCATGAAATTGTATTGCTAGAATCCCTTGCTGACTCTAGAAGCAGATTTCTCAAAAACACGTAACACTCAAAGCAGCAAAGAGGGACAGGACTACAAACAAACAGAATAGACCCCCATGTGTCTCCACCAAGGACAGACTTCAAAATAGCTCTCATCAGTATCTCAAAATCAGAAAAGGCAAGACTGAAGCTGTTTTTAGTTTATTTGTTTGTTCGGGGCACTGCTAATGTTGAGATAGAGTCTCACTATGTAGTGCAGGTTGGCCTTGAATTCGCTTATGTAGCTCCAGCTGGCCTCAAGTTCATGGCAATCCTCCAGCCTCATCCTCTTGAGTGAAGATTGCAGACCTGTACCACCATGCCCAACAAGACTGAAATCTTGAACTCAAACTGGAAACCTAAAAATGAACCAAATAGAAATTTTATAAATGAAAAATCCAATAACTAAAGTTAAGAATTCAGTGGATGAGATTAATGGCAGACTAGACCAAGATAAAAAGATTGTCAGTGAGCTGTAAGAAGCATGAAAAAATATGAGAGAAATGAAGATGGAAAATACAGAACATTCTAACATTCAAGCATTTCTATGAATCTAATCAGCCAATGGAAGACAAGCACATCCAGATTCATCATAGTGAAACCAAGGACAAAGAGAAAATCTTACAGTTGTCTGGAAAAAAAGAGATGAGGTTCAAAACAACGAAAATTAGACTGGTAAATTATAGAATGGTGAGAGGGAGACAAAAATGGAAAGACAAACTCAACATGATAAGAAAATAATTGCCAATCTATTGTGACAATATCCTTTTTTTTTAAATTGGCACCAGGAATCAAACTCATCATCGCTTGCTGGCAAGGCAAGTGCTTATGCCGCCCAACAGTATCCTTTAAGAATGAAGCAAAACCCAGCACTTGGGAGGCAGGAGGATTCTTGTGAGTTTGAGACCAGTCTGGGCTTCAAAGTGAGCTCAAGGCCAGCCTGAACCACATAGTGAGACCCTGTCTCAGATAAAACAAAACCCTAAAATAGTATTCAGACAAACAAAAATTGGTAACTCATTTTTAGCAGATTCACAATAAAAAAATACTAGAGGTATTTTTATACAGAAGGAAAATGATCCTAGATAAAAGTTTAACAATATCAAGTCAAATAAAATAAATAGCAATGAGAAGGATAAAATGTGTCTATAAAAATAAATACTGACTGGCCATTCACAGACCTGGGGCAGAGAGAACAAAGCCACACCAGCAAGCAAACCCAATCTGGAAGCAGTGCCATGCACAGGCTGCCGCCAGACTGGAACAGACAAACCCCAGCCCCTTCCGGAGTGTGGGCTGGCAAACAAGAAGAGTACCAACACCACCACTCCATCCCCACTTCTCCCCCTCTTAAGCAATAGGCTTATCCAGAGAAACACAGGCTGTGATGATAGCTATGGAGGTGAAATGCAATTGGATGCCTGTGGTGCTTTGGTGTTTCACTAACATTGCAGGTCTGTGGCCAGTGGTCTGATCATAGGTTCAGAGGATAATGATATGCAGTGTGACATCTAGGGAGGGATCTCCTTCTCAGGGTGGTAGCCATTGTTGATTCCCTTTGGTCTTGTTTTGGAAGTACTATATTGTTTCCATTGTTTTGTTAGGTTGGGTTTTATTTATTTATTTTGTTTTATTTGGTTATGTCAAATCTGATGGCAGGAGTAGATGTTTCAGAGATAGCAAGATATAATAGCAATTTTGGATTTTACTATAGGCTTATTTTGAAGTCCTTTATTGCATTCATTGTTTTGTTTTTATTGTTTCTATTCTATTCTGTTCTGTTTCATTTTTACTATGCCCGAAGTTATCTGCAGCGATTTTGAAGACATCAAAAGGCATTATGGTAACTATTGTTGATTTCATAATGTTTTGAAGTCCTGTATCTTTTATACTAGTTGTTTTGATTGGTTTTATTCTGTTTTATCCTCTTTAAAATAAAAAAATACTGACCATAATAATGTCTTCAGAAGTGTTTTTGCTTGTTTGGGTGTTTTTTGTTTTTGAGTTTTTTTTATACCAGGGATTGAACTCAGGACCGCACGCTTGCAAAGGCAGGCGCTTAAGCTACTGAACTAAATCCCCAGCCTCTCTTTGGGAGTGTTTAATAAATATAAAATTAAAACACAATAGCATATAAAGAGGAAAATAAGTGGAGTTTAAAAGTTCTAAAGCTCAGGCTGGAGATTTAGCTCAGCGGCATAAGCGCCTGCCTTGTAAGCAGGCAGTTGGGAGTTTGATCCTCGGTACCGATAAAAAGGAAAAAGACTAAAAAAAAAAAGTTCTAAAGCTCTTTTATTGTCTGGTAAAAGTGTAAAAATACCAACTACTGTTAGACTTCTGTAAATTAATATTATAACATCTAAAGGAAAAAATTAATAGAACATAGAAAAGAATCCATAACTTCTAAGCTAACAGTGGGAGAAAATTAAGAGTGTTAGTAATCAAATCATTCTAAAAGATTTCCAGAAATGAGAGAAATAAACCAGAACAAGAGTGAGAAGTCGAAAGCAAATATTACAATGCTAGAGTTAACTCAAATTATATCAATAATTATACTAAATATAAATGTAATAAGTGTTCTAATTGAAAGATAAAGATTGTGATGTAGGGTCAAAAAACTGAAGACCACTACATTCTTACAATAGACATACTCTATTTTTAAAAAAATTGTATTAGTATATGTTTTCAATATATATGAATATATTCACCATGGGGTATTTGTACCTACACAAATATTGTGTGTTGATTCTTTTTATTTCTTAATCCCTTCCCCTTATAAGGACAGATTAAGGTTGAGATGAGACTATGGAAAATGATGCAAAATGTAAGTTTTTAAAACAATTATTCTGACTGTTACGAGGATAATAAACAAGAACTATGGACAAGAAAGGCAACTTGGACAGAAACAATAGTTTATTTCAAGTGGGAAATAATAGAAGCCAAGAGGTTGCAATAATTCAGATTCACTATATGATGTATGCTATTGGTTTGGATATGGTTTGAATGTCCTCCAAGGGCTTATGTGTTGAAATTTCATCCCACTGTGAGACTGTAAGAGGGTGAAAGCTTAATCTGATTATTTTTAGAGGCAGGTACTTTGAGAGAGATATTAGAGTTATTAGGGTAGAGCCTCCACGATTGAGCTTTGGATTTATAAGAAAAGAAAAGAGACCAGTGTACATGTGTATGTGTGCATACCTGCTCTTTTTCTTGCAGTGTCTTGAAATACCTTGGGACTCTGCCACTGAAAAGCCAGACCTCCAGAACTATGAGCCAGAATAAACTTCTTTTCTTCATAGTTGGATTCAGGCTGTGGTATTCAGTTATTAGCAACAGAAAATGGACTAATGCAGTGTACTTACATATACTAAAGCAACATAAAAATAATATAAGCATAAAAATAAGAAATGTATTCTTCAGAATACCGAATGTGAGAATTAAGTGTTTAAAAATTATTTTCGCCCTTCTCTAGTCTCATTTTTAAATTTTTCTTTCTTTTTTTGCCAGCATCAGACTTACTTTTAAAGCCTTTATCAAGTTAATTATCATAAATACAGGTGAACAGCCAGACTAGCAGCCTACAAAAGCATAAAACAACTGTACTAAATCAAGGTACATTTATGGATAGATAGATTGGCCAACTTGAATTATAATAAACTTTTTTCTCTTTTTTTCCTATGGTCTTTAACTTTGCACTCATATAAGAGAAACCATGCAGTATTTAAGTTTGCGGGTCAACTCTACTTCACTTAATATTACAGTCTCATTTCCTACAAATGATTCATTTATAGCCGAGTAGTACTGCATTGTGTATAAATACCACAATTTCTTTGTGCATTTTATTGATGGACCTATAAACTCCTTCTAAGATTTTAACTGTTATAAACTGTGCTGCTATCAACATGTATGCATGTATCACTGTAATCTGATATCTTTAACTATTTCAGGAAGATACCTAGAAGGAGAGTAGCTAGGTCAAATGGAATTTCTATTTTTAGTTTTGTCAAGGAATCTTCATACTGATTTCCATAGTGGTTGTACCAGTTTACACTCCCACCAACAATGAGGTAGAGTTCATTTTTCTCCTCAGCCTCTCCAGCATTTGTTATTGTTTGATTTTTTCTCAGATAACCATTCTCTCTGGAGTGAGAGAGAATCTTAATGTAGTTTTTATTTGCATTTCTTGAATAACCAGTGGTGTCAAACATTTTTTCGTGTATTTGTTGGCAATTTGTACTTCTTATCTGAGAAATGTTTTTTCATTTAAGATACCCATTCTTTGAATGGGCCTTTAAATTTTGGAGGTCTTTTTTTTTTTTAAAGTTCTTTTTGTATTTTAGATTTTAGTCTTTGAGAAGTAGCTCCAAACTTTTTTTTTTCATTGTAAAGATTGCCTCATCACTCTGTTCGTGGTTTCTTTAGCTTTTTAATTTATTGTGATCTTATTTGTTGATTCTTGGTACTGTTTCTTATACAACCAGTGTTGTGCTCAGAAAGTCGCTGCCTATATCTATATCTTCAAGAGTTTTACCTATTTCCAACAGATTAAGTATTTCTGTTTCACTATTTAGATCTTTGATCCGTTTTGATTTTATTTAGTGTATGGTCAGAGTTACTGGTCTAGGTTCAATATTTGGCATGCAGATAGCTAGTTTTCCCAATATTATTTGTCTTAACAACCTCTTTAGAGGTTGTCTTTCCTCCAGAGAAAGCATTTGGCCCCTTTGTCACATATAAGTTGTACCTGGAGTTCTTTCTTCATCCTCTATTCTGTTCCATTGATCCATAAGTCTTTTTTCCCCCAAACCATGTTGCTTTGATCATGGTGACTTTGTAGTATAACTGGAAGTCCAGGATTGTGATACCCTCTGCCTTGCCCTTTTTGCCCAGAATTACTTTCTCCATTCTAGCTCTCTTCTGGTTCCAAATAGATATTAGGATTGCTTTCTCTAATTCTGTGAGCAATGCTCTTGATTTTTGTTAGATTATACTAAATCTGTGTATTAAATCTATATGGTCCTTATTCTTTGAAGTTACATTTGGAATTGATTTTGTTCTTTCATTATAGCATCTGTTTATCTTAGTGCACAAACTCTAAAGCTCATGTGCAGTCTTCTTGTTCAAGTATAAAAATTTGTTTCAGGATCATGTTAGGTTGCTATAGTGCCTACTGCATGTCACACTCTTGGACAGGCTGGTCAAGTAGTAACACAAAGCAGAGGCTCATGAACAACTTTCTCACTGCCAGGCTTGCTCCCTGTTCAATCTGGACAGTCCACTATGGTCAAAGCAGAGATCTTGAAATCAGTGGTGACCCTGGCTGACTGAGGTAGTACTCTTAAGTAACAGGAATCCATTT